CAATGAGCCTTCCCTCTCCATCTCCATCAATGAACCCCCACCTCCGCCAATGCATCTTCTCTCCCCATCTCCTTCAATGAGCCTTCCCTCTCCACCTCCATCAATGACCCCCCCCCCCACCTCCACCAATGAGTCTTCTCTCTCCACCACCATCAATGAGCCTTCCCTCTCCACCTCCATCAATGAGCACCCCCTCTCCTCCATCAATGAGCCCTCCCTCCCCATCTCCATCAATGAGCCTTCCCTCTCCACCTCCATCAATGTGCCTTCCCTCTCCACCTCCATCAATGAGCCTCCCCCCTCCACCAATGAGCCTTCCCTCCCCATCTCCACCAATGAGCCTTCCCTCCCCATCTCAATCAATGAGCCTTCCCTGCACATCTCCTTCAATGAACTTTCCCTCCCCCACCACCATCAATGAACCTTCCCTCCCCACCTCCATCAATCAGCCTTGGCCGCCCATGACCCTGTCATCGGTTGGCTGGTTTTCCTTCCTTGGACCACTTTCGGTCGGTCCTGACCACTGCAGACCGGGGACATCCCACACGAGCTGTAGGTTTGGATTTGCTCTGACTCAGCCATCTAGACATTACAATTTGATCTTTGTCAGAGTCCCTCCAATCCTTAGATGTGACCATTTTTTCTGCTTTCAACACATCAACTTCAGGGACAACATGTTCGCTTGCTGTCTAATATGTCCCACGTGCTTTCAGGTGCCAATGTAATAAGATAATCCGTGTTATTCACTCTACCTGTCAGTGGTCAGAATGGTAACTCCCCGCAACCAGATGTGTGCCTACAGGAGTTGCAGAGGTCGCAACTGCGACCCACCCCATGCTCCAAGGGGCCCGTGCGCCCCCTGTACACCTGGATAGGAGAGGTAGTTCTCTCTGCAGTCCCTGAAAGCCCACTTCTCCTCTCTCTCCTTCAGGCATTCAGTGGCTGCAGGTGGAAAATGGAGGGGATTGGTTCTTCTACATGCTGCCCCTTGCCACCTCTCCTGTCCAGGTCCTGCTGCCCCCGGCATCTGTGTGACCCCCCACCACCCATAGCAGTGCCGGGTTGCCTCCCCCCCCCTCTGCTGGCTGCTGCAGAATAGGGATGGAGAGCGGGAAAGACACCGATCACTGACTCTGTTCATTCATAACTGAAACATAGTAAACTGTGTTCATTCATATGTGTGTTTACTATGCTTCAGTTTGTCGATGAACAGGAAGCTTCTCTACAGAGCTATTCCTGTCCATTCATTCTGTGCAGCTGAACCTGCAGAGATGGATATTCAGGTCTTTGTCCTCAACCACCTTTCTCTGTCTCAAAGGTGAAACATCAGAAGTCTTTTTAGACCCCTGATATCCCACCAAAGCCCCCCAACAGGGCTCCTAAAAAATTATAAAATAAAAAATGAAATTGTAAAATAAAATAAAACAGTAAAAGTAATTTAAAAAAAAATAAAAAACTACTGACACCAGTGGCGGAACTACCAGGGTCGCAAAGGTCGCACTTGCGAGCAGGCCCAGGCATTCCACCACTGTGGGGGGGGGGGGGGGGGCAAGATGGCAGGGACAGAGCCTGCTGCAGAACAGTAATGAGGGGGGCCCTTCATGGTTTCTTGCACTGGGGAAGGAGGGCCAAGATGGCAGAACGGGAGCCTGCTGCAGAACAGTAATGAGGGGGGCCCTTCATGGTTTCTTGCACTGGGGAAGGAGGGCCAAGATGGCAGGACGGGAGCCTGCTGCAGAACAGTAATGAGGGGGGCCCTTCATGGTTTCTTGCACTGGGGAAGGAGGGCCAAGATGGCAGGACGGGAGCCTGCTGCAGAACAGTAATGAGGGGGGCCCTTCATGGTTTCTTGCACTGGGGAAGGAGGGCCAAGATGGCAGGACGGGAGCCTGCTGCAGAACAGTAATGAGGGGGGCCCTTCATGGTTTCTTGCACTGGGGAAGGAGGGCCAAGATGGCAGGACGGGAGCCTGCTGCAGAACAGTAATGAGGGGGGCCCTTCATGGTTTCTTGCACTGGGGAAGGAGGGCCAAGATGGCAGGACGGGAGCCTGCTGCAGAACAGTAATGAGGGGGGCCCTTCATGGTTTCTTGCACTGGGGAAGGAGGGCCAAGATGGCAGAACGGGAGCCTGCTGCAGAACAGTAATGAGGGGGGCCCTTCATGGTTTCTTGCACTGGGGAAGGAGGGCAGAGATGGCAGAACGGGAGCCTGCTGCAGAACAGTAATGAGGGGGGCCCTTCATGGTTTCTTGCACTGGGGAAGGAGGGCCAAGATGGCAGGACGGGAGCCTGCTGCAGAACAGTAATGAGGGGGGCCCTTCATGGTTTCTTGCACTGGGGAAGGAGGGCCAAGATGGCAGGACGGGAGCCTGCTGCAGAACAGTAATGAGGGGGGCCCTTCATGGTTTCTTGCACTGGGGAAGGAGGGCCAAGATGGCAGGACGGGAGCCTGCTGCAGAACAGTAATGAGGGGGGCCCTTCATGGTTTCTTGCACTGGGGAAGGAGGGCCAAGATGGCAGGACGGGAGCCTGCTGCAGAACAGTAATGAGGGGGGCCCTTCATGGTTTCTTGCACTGGGGAAGGAGGGCCAAGATGGCAGGACGGGAGCCTGCTGCAGAACAGTAATGAGGGGGGCCCTTCATGGTTTCTTGCACTGGGGAAGGAGGGCCAAGATGGCAGAACGGGAGCCTGCTGCAGAACAGTAATGAGGGGGGCCCTTCATGGTTTCTTGCACTGGGGAAGGAGGGCCAAGATGGCAGGACGGGAGCCTGCTGCAGAACAGTAATGAGGGGGGCCCTTCATGGTTTCTTGCACTGGGGAAGAGGGCCAAGATGGCAGAATGGGAGCCTGCTGCAGAACAGTAATGAGGGGGGCCCTTCATGGTTTCTTGCACTGGGGAAGGAGGGCCAAGATGGCAGAATGGGAGCCTGCTGCAGAACAGTAATGAGGGGGGCCCTTCATGGTTTCTTGCACTGGGGAAGGAGGGCCAAGATGGCAGGACGGGAGCCTGCTGCAGAACAGTAATGAGAGGGGCCCTTCATGGTTTCTTGCACTGGGGAAGGAGGGCCAAGATGGCAGGACGGGAGCCTGCTGCAGAACAGTAATGAGGGGGGCCCTTCATGGTTTCTTGCACTGGGGAAGAGGGCCAAGATGGCAGGAAGGGAGCCTGCTGCAGAACATATGAAAGGGTCCCACTGCACAACAGTATTAAAGGCCCCCCCCAATGAGGGGGGCCCTTCATGGTTTCTTGCACTGGGGGGGGGGCAGAAGGTACTAGTTACACCTCTACCCCCAGCGTACACAAATGAACACTCATTTGGGTGACAACAGTTTGTCCATCTTTGACTCCAGATGGTCGAATGTAAAAAATGGTCTCCAATTGACTTCAATGCCATTTGAGTTTGGCAGACTTAAAAAAAAAAAAAACAAATGCTGAATTTGGGTGAAATTAGCAGATTTTCTCACCACTACTTTATACTATTTTGGGGTCATAAGCTCAGAATTTTGAAGTCCTCTAGAAAGTCATCATGGCAGCCAGTCAGCGAGTCAAGAATTGGCGCGGTGCTGGTTAGACCCGATAGAACAGGCTGTGTCCTCAATCACCTTTCCCTGTCTCACAGGTGAAACTTCAGAGGTCTTTTTAGACCCCTGATATCCCACCAAAGCCCCCCAACAGGGCTCCTAAAAAATTGTAAAATAAAAAATAAAATTGTAAAATAAAACAGTAAAAATAATAAAAAAATAAAAAAACTACTGACACCAGTGGTCGCAAAGGTCGCACTTGCGACCAGACCCCTGTGGGGGGGGGGGGGGGGGGGGGGGGGGGGGGGGGGGGGGGGGGGGGGGGGGGGGGGGTGGGGGGGGGGGGGGGAGATTTGGGTGAAATTAGCAGATTTTCTCACCAGTATTTATACTATTTTTGGGTCATAAGCACAGAATTTTGAAGTCCTCTAGAAAGTCATCATGGCAGCCAGCCAGCGAGCATCTTCATGAGTCAAGAATTGGCGCGGCGCTGATTAGACCCGATAGAACCGGCGATGTTGCGGCAGTAATAATAGTCTATGAAGGAGATTTATTTTCTTTCTGGACGTATTTCTGTTCTGGATGTGCGGTGCAGGAACACGCTTCATTACGCAACAAAAACCTAAAAGTTCATCAAAACTGCCAGACTGGAAAAGTCACTTTTTTTTTCCTTTTTCTGTCCCATGTCGTCAGTGTGTCCGTCATAGAGAGAGCTCCCGGGTGTGTCCTCCGATCTCAAGGTACAAGTCTCAGGATGTCTGTACAGTGGCAGCCCCGGGAAAAATACCTATTAAACTGTCAGAGAGTATCTATTATATACAGCATGGTGCCTAAAAAACAACCCCACACCATAATCCCCCTTCTACCAAACTTTACACTTGGCACAATGCAGTCAGGCAAGTACCGTTCTCCTGGCCACCGCCAAACCCAGACATGTCCATCGGATGGCCAGACAGAGAATCGTGATTGGTCCCTCCAGAGAACACGTCTCCTCTGCTCTAGAGTCCAGTGGCGGCGTGCTTTACACCACGGCATCTGACGCTTTGCATTGCACTTGGTGATGGAAGGCTTGGATGCAGCTGCTCGGCCATGGAAACCCATTCCATGAAGCTCTCTACACACTGTTGTTGGGCTCATCTGAAGGCCACACCAAGTTTGGAGGTCTTTAGCTATTGACTCTGCAGACAGTTGGTGACTTCTGCGCACTGTGCGCTTCAGCATGCGCTGACCCCGCCCTGTCATGTGACGTGGCCTACCACTTGGTGGCTGAGTGGCTGTTGTTCCCAGTTGCTTCCACTTTGTTATAATCCCACTAACAGTTGAGCGTGGAATATTTAGTAGCCAGGAAATGTCACGGATGGACTTATTGCCCAGGTGACCACCTATCACGGGACCACGCTTGGAGTCACTGAGCTCCTGAGAGCGACCCATTCTTTCACCAATGTTTGTAGAAGCCGTCTGCATGCCTAGGGGCTTTATTGTATACACCTGTGTCCATGGAGGGGATTGGAACACCTGAATCACATGATATGGAGGGGATTGGAACACCTGAATCACATGATTGGGAGGGGATTGGAACACCTGAATCACATGATATGGAGGGGATTGGAACACCTGAGTCACATGATTGGAGGGGATTGGAACACCTGAATCACATGATTGGGAGGGGATTGGAACACCTGAATCACATGATATGGAGGGGATTGGAACACCTGAGTCACATGATTGGGAGGGGATTGGAACACCTGAATCACATGATTGGGAGGGGATTGGAACACCTGAATCACATGATATGGAGGGGATTGGAACACCTGAATCACATGATTGGGAGGGGATTGGAACACCTGAATCACATGATTGGGAGGGGATTGGAGCACCTGAATCACATGATATGGAGGGGATTGGAACACCTGAGTCACATGATTGGAGGGGATTGGAACACCTGAGTCACATGATTGGAGGGGATTGGAACACCTGAGTCACATGATTGGAGGGGATTGGAACACCTGAGTCACATGATTGGGAGGGGATTGGAACACCTGAGTCACATGATTGGAGGGGATTGGAACACCTGAGTCACATGATATGGAGGGGATTGGAACACCTGAATCACATGATTGGGAGGGGATTGGAGCACCTGAATCACATGATATGAAGGGGATTGGAACACCTGAGTCACATGATTGGAGGGGATTGGAACACCTGAATCACATGATTGGAGGGGATTAGAACACCTGAGTCACATGATTGGGAGGGCGGGGACAATACTTTTGGCAATATTTTGTGTGTAATAAATATTTTTAAAAAGTGCGCTGGAACTCCCCTTTTTTTCTTTATGCAAACAAAATATAGTAAACAATAATCCTTCCCTTAGCAGTTGGAGTCCATCTGTTCCCCTCACAGAAAGAAATGGTAATGTCAGAAGTGATCAGAGCTCTCAAAATAATAAGTTCAATATTGTCTCTGTATAATCGAAGATCAGACGTCATCCATCCATCAACGTCTTCCTGTGCATCCAATCTTCCCATACAGTGATCTCCAGAAAAAAAACATGCGTCCCCTAACTTGAGCCCCCCTGCAGTTTTCATACCTGTCCTCTGTGTTTGCCTCCTCCTCTGTGCTTCTTCAGCTGCTGGTATTCACTGCACTGCCCCACTTGTTTGCCAGCATTTCTAGGGCTCCCTTTGTGATTCCAGTGTCTCTAGTGCCCCCCAGAGCCCCCCCGTGTCTTCTAGTAAGCACTCCAGTGCCATCAGAGTGCTATCTGTTCCCTAATGTCTCCAGCACACCCTGTGCAACCCCAGTGCCACCAGTGTGCCATTTACTCCCCAATGTCTCCAGTGAACCCTGTGCACCTCAGTGCCACTAGTACGCCACTACTCCGCAGTGTCGCCAGTGCACTCTGGGCACCCCAGTGCCACCAGTACGCCAACTACTCTGCAGTGTCACCAGTGCACCCTGTGCACCCCAGTGCCACCAGTGTGTCATCTACTCTCCAATGTCTCCAGCCAGCACACCCTGTGCACCCCAGTGCCACCAGTGCGCCATTTACTCCCCAATGTCTCCAGTGAACCCTGTGCACCCCAGTGCCACCAGTACGCCAACTACTCTGCAGTGTCACCAGTGCACCCTGTGCACCCCAGTGCCACCAGTGTGTCATCTACTCTCCAATGTCTTCAGCCAGCACACCCTGTGCATCCCAGTGCCACCAGTGCGCCATTTACTCCCCAATGTCTCCAATGAACCCTGTGCACCCCAGTGCCACCCGTGTGCCATCTATTCCCTAATGTCTCCAGTACACCCTGTGCACCCCAGTGCCACCAGTACGCCAACTACTCTGCAGTGTCACCAGTGCACCCCAGTGACACCAGTACACCAACTACTCGACTGTGTCTCCAGCACACCCTGTGAACCCCAGTGCTACCAGTGTGCCATCTGTTCCCTAATGTCTCCAGTGCACCCTGTGCACCCCAGTGCCACCAGTGTGCCATCTACTCCCCAGTGTCTCCAGCACACCATGTGCACCCCAGTGCCACCAGTGAGCCATCTACTCCCCAATGTCTCCAATGCACCCTGTGCACCCCAGTGCCATCAGTGCGCCATTTATTCTCGAATGTCTCCAGTGCACCCCAATTCCACCAGTGCACCATTTACTCCCCAATGCCTCTAGTGCACCCTGTGATCCTTCTGCCCCTCTGAGCATCCATGTGTTATAGTGACCTTAGTGTGCCCCTGTGCTCCCTCTGTTGTATAGTAGCTGCAAGTGTGCTCCTGTGTGCCCCTTGTAACTCCAAGCTCACCCCAGAGCAGGGGCGGACTGACAGCTCATGGGGCCCCCGGGCAATAGGGGATCATGGGGCCCCTGTGTCCTTGCCCAAACTCAAAAAAGCCTATGAAAAAGGTACCAAGGGCATCTCATGGCCCCCTACTAACCCTGGGCCCTCGGGCAGTGCCCTAGTTTCCAAATGGTCAGTCCGCCCCTGCTCCAGAGCATTCTGTGTCACATAGTAATTCCAAATTCATCCATGTGCCCCCAGTGCACCCCGAATCCTGTGTCTTTTGGTGACTCCAGTTGCTTTATGTGCACCCCTGTAACTCCAAATGCACCCCTGTGCCCCTTGTGCGCCCCCTTGTTTTTAAAGGTGTGTTCCAAGACTGTAGTGCCCCACCCGTGCATCCTATGTCTACTAATGACTCCAGTGTGTTCCATGCTCCCCAATATCTTCACGTGCTTCCCAGTGCCACCTGTCTACTCCCCAAGGCAACCTGTGATCCTAGTGCCCCCCACCACAGAGCATTCAGTGTTTTATAGTGACCCCAGTGTGCCCCATGCTGCTCTGCAACTCCAAGTTTGTCCCAGCGCTCCCTTTGTTGTATAGTAACTTCAAGTCTGCTCCTGTGTGCCCCCCGTAACTCCAAGTGACTCCAAGCACACCCTTGTGCCCCCTTGTCTCCATGTGCACCTCAGTGTGCCCTGTATCATATAGTGACTCCAAATTCATCAATGTGCCTCCACATACCTCCTAGTGCACCCCGGAAGATCCTGCGTCTTCTAGTGACTCCAATGCATCATGTACACCTCTGTGACTCCAAATGCACCCCAGTGCATCCTGTGTACCCCCTTATTTCTAAAAGTCCCAAGACTCTATTGCTCTATCAGAGCACCCTGTGTCTTCTAGTGATTCCAGTGTACTCCATGTGTCCCCAAGTCTCCAAGGGCACTCCAACGCGACATGTGACTCTAATGACCCATCCAGAACATCCAGTGTCTTATAGCGAACCCAGTGTGCCTGTGTACCCCTGTGTCTCCAGAGTGCACCCCAAAGTGCCCTGTGTCATATATTGACTCCACATGCATCTCTGTGTGCCTAAGTAATTCCAGGGGCACCCAGGAGCATCCCATGTCTCCAGTGAGCTCCATGTTCACACTTGTGACTCTAAGTGCACTCCTGTGCACCCCATGATTGACAGTGCACCCCATGACTCCCAGTGCACCCCTAATAGCATCCTGTGTCATCTAGTAACTCCAGTGACCCCATGCACCCCTGACACTCCAAGTGCACCCCAGTTTGCCCTGTGTTATCTAATGACTCTAACTACACCCCTGTGCACCCCATGACTCCCAGTGCACCCCTAATAGCATCCTGTGATCCTGTGTCATCTAGTAACTCCAGTGACCCCGTGCACCCCTGACACTCCAAGTGCACCCCAGTTTGCCCTGTGTCATCTAATGACTCTAACTGCACCCCTATGCATCCCATGGTTACCAGTGCACCCCTAAGAGCATCCTGTGTCATCTAGTAACTCCAGTGACCCCATGCACCCCTGACACTCCAAGTGCACCCCAGTTTGCCCTGTGTCATTTAATAACTCTAACTACACCCCTGTGCACCCCATGATTACCAGTACACCCCTAAGAGCATCCTCTGTCATCTAGTAACTCCAGTGACCCCCATGCACCCCTGACACTCCAAGTGTACCCCAGTTTACCCTGTGTCATCTGACTCAAACTGCACCCCTGTGCACCCCATGATTACCAGTACACCCCTAAGAGCATCCTGTGTCATCTAGTAACTCCAGTGACCATGTGCACCCCTGACACTCCAAGTGCACCCCAGTTTGCCCTGTGTCATCTAATGACTCTAACTACACCCCTGTGCACCCCATTATTACCAATGCACCCTAACATCATCCTGTGTCATCTAGTAACTCCAGTGACCCCATGCACCCCTGACACTCCAAGTGCACCCCAGTTTTCCCTGTGTCATCTAATGACTCTAACTACACCCTTGTGCACCCCATGTTACCAGTGCACCCCTAAGAGCATCCTGTGTCATCTAGTAACTCCAGTGACCCTGTGCACCCCACTTTGAACTGTGCCATCTAATGACCCCAAGTGCACCCCTGTGTGCCCGCTTAAGTCCAAGTCAGGGGCGGACTGACCATTCGAACACTCGGGTACTGCCCAAGGGCCCGGGGTCAGTAGGGGGCCCCATGAGATGCCCCTGGTACCTTTCATTGTTTTTTTCATAGGCTTTTTTGGGTGTGGGCGAGGACACGGAGGCCCCATGATCCCCTATTGCCTGGGGGCCCCATGACTTGTCAGTCCGCCCTTGGTCCAAGTGCACCTCAGAGCACCCCGTGTCCTCTATTGACACCTAGAGCATCTTGTGCACCTCTGTGACACCCTTGTCTCCAAACAGCCTCCCATACAGACCCAAGACAATTCTGAGAAGGAGGAGTGAAAGTCAAGACTCATATTTCACAATATATTCGTTTTTAGCTTCTGAGATTTGCCTCAGTTGTTTTTTTTTTTTTGCATCAGTGAAACTCCAGTGGCATGGCAGTCACATGGCTTTGTTTATAAACAAACATTTGGGGTTCTCATTGAGATTTGCGCTAGGATTAGCATTTTTTGCCGCAGGAACAGGTGCAGGATCGATGACAGGAGCTTCCCGAACCCTCGGGAGCCATGGGAAGCACATTGGACACCTCCAGACATCCCATCACCAACCCGTACAGGTTGCAGGTACAAGCACACAGGAAGCAAGCCTTTTACATGTGTACTTACAGTCGTTTTCCTTTTATTCATTTTTTTATTTGCAAAAGTGCTTTTGAACGTTCTATAAATGTTGGTTTCTTCAGGACTTTCAATTCCCCTCCCTCCTTGTATGTCATTGCCTTCTGGAGTGTCCGATTACTGTATGTGCTGGCCCAGCTCCTCTGCCCCTCCTCTCGCTCTACTACATAACATTTTATGTAGCTGACAGGGGAGGAGCAAAGTGGAATATTATAGAATGTCACGCCCATTTAATCATCTCTCCATCTCGCCTATCAGCTTACATATTAGCCACTCCCACTGCAAGCCTGATACCTGTTCATCTATTATACAGTATGGGAATACAACCACCTGTGCTGGGCTCACATCTGATGACATGACACAGTGCTGTGTGAGCAGACAATTATCTGTCTCTTTATTACTGACAGCATAAAACGTTTTGTTGTTTGGAAGCGTCTCCCGCCTTCTTGCCCAGTTTTTTTATGTGCGTTTTCAATAAACAGACCCCACCCGTCACTGTTGTGTTAAAAAGGATCCGAAGCTGGAATGCCGAGCGCTCAGTACAGGAGTCACACGCCCAGAATTCAGAGATCCACAAACTTTGACTTCATTGTGTGATGAAAAGGGATTCCTTTCCCGCAGTCAGAGGAGTGAGATCTGTATGAGGTGCAAACTGTACGTTGTATCCTACGTTCTACATTGTATCATCTGATGATATACTTTATATTGTCTGA